CCAAAAGAATGCTGTCAGTTTCAGCGTGCTCCTAATGCCTCGATTAATGTGGATGAAATGCGTGCACATTACCTATCTGAGGAGAATTCCCCGACAAGTAGCTACACTGGGTCCCCTTCGTCAACCTCTCCGCTCCCTAGGTTTGCTGTACCATCATCATCAGTTTCGGCATCAAACTTTGGATCAACTGACTCGTCTCCGCCTATGTCATTTGGACAGCAACTTCCATCATCTCCAACAAAGGGGTTATTGCATCATTAGCAGAGGGACTTGCAAGTTCTAAACCGAATTTTTTGCAGATTACCGCAGGCACAATCACCGTTGAGTCCAAATTCGTATTTGAGCGAAGACCGTGATGAACACGAAATGATGGATACTAGTGATGACCGTAATCATACATTCACCTCCAATTTCCCACGTCATTCTGGAGCCGATTGTAAGAATCATTTATTCTCAAATGTGGTTGTTCTGCCTTGCAGTTTCACACCATTCAATTTTTATAGTGGTACAAGAGCTCGTTGAATATTGCGAGCCAGAGTGTTGGATGTCAATAACGTATTACGAAGAAGGCAAGCGAGTTGGAGATCCCTTCAATGTGCGGTCTCATTACCTACTTGTGGATGGTTATCCCTCGCCAAGTTCTGAAGAGAGGTAGTCTCTATTACAATTATACACTACTAAAGGTTTCAGAGTATAGACATACTTTAAGATTTTGCCTTGGTTACTTTGATGTCGAGAATCGTCCTGTACCCGTAATAGATGCACGTCGACAAGTTGGCCGAGGAGCGAGGTTCTATTATATCGGTGGAGAGGTAATGTGATTTTTCATTCTTTTGCTCTTTTTCCTCTTACCTTTTATCTTATGCTACAATTTATGCCCAATTTTTCTGTGAGACGTGAAGTCTCCTTAATGTCATAATTTTAGGTATACTGCGAGTGTCTCTCTGACGCGGCTGTTTTTGTCCAATCTCCTAACTGCAATCAACGCCACGGCTGGCATCCAACAACTGTTTGTAAGGTGTGTTTAGAAGGCATATGACAACGGTACCATAATGATAAGTGCATAGCAGTGCTTAGGCTTCGCGACGACGCGGGTCTACGCGCTCTAACGCGTGTGTACGCCCTATAACGCGTCTGTGCGCTACAGTCGTAACAGCGCTAAAACGCTATAGCCGGATACAGAAATCGATCGGTGCTGGCTGTTCGTGTAGAAAGACAAACTGCCGGCGCCGATCGATTCCCGTCTGCGGCTGCTTTCGCTCCTATAGGATTAACACGTTCACAGCGGCCCCGTTTCGCCAAAAACTTCCGTTTGTCGAGCGGCGCGTTCGCGGCGGGCGACACTCAGGCAATCGTCCCGTTTATGGTTAAGCGCACTCGCCCACGTAATTCGTTTTTTTGTCCATTCTTTTTACACTTTTTCCCCTCTGCAAGGTTTATCTCATTTCTGGTGAAAGAACCAGGTATCTTGCCCCTTTTAAGTTGAGTAAACAAAAGTAAACACGATTTGTTCCTCTTGTAAAAACCAATACTGCCTCTCCTGCTTCCAAAAAATGCACAAGAAATGTTTTTAGTATTACTTCTATACTATTTATTCTATTATTTGTATATAATTGTCAGTGAAATGAAGAAAAAAATCATAAAAAACAAGAGAAGAGGCGCGTGTACTCCTGGGAGTACACGATTGGTCTGAAGAAAAAAGTTTTCGCGTGTTTTTTTGGCAGTACACGCTTATTCTAATGTGTGGATAACATTTCTCTATTGTTTGTTTCAGTATATGCATGCAATTACTATTCAAAAAGAAAAAAAATAGAGAAAACGAGCAAAGAGGCGCGTGTACTCCTGGAAAAGCCCGATTCGCCTTGAGAGAAAGTTTTTGAATGTTTTTTCGGGTGTACACGCCTCTTTTAATGTGTCTATATTAATTCTCTATTGTTTGATTAATTGTTTATATCCGATTCTAGCTGAAAAATGAAAAAAAAATTCAAAAAACGAGCGAATAGGCGCGTGTACTCCCGGGAGTACACGATTCGCCGAAAGCGGAGTTTTTTCGTGTACTCTCCGGGAGTAAACGCCGCGAACGTGTTAAGCACCGTTGAAATGGTAGCGTATCGAAGCGCTATACAGCGCGTTACAGAGCTTCATAGGGAAGATTAAACATTGCGTAATCCTTAAAATTGACTAATTGAAGTTGTGATATTTTTTCAAATGCACAGGGTCGGGCAAACCCAGTTCATTAAGCATTTTGTTGATACCCCGAGATGGCAGTTCGGAGATCACTTCTTTTCATGAATACTATATTCATTACAAATTCAACAATCTTGGGAATCAGCAAATTTCATGGTGGTCGGCTTTAATCTCCGCGCAGCTCATCAGAGGTTTGGCGCACACAAATAATTCGGCACGCGTTCGAGGCATAGTATTCAGTTATCAAGAGATTCCCGCTTGGAACATAGTACTCAGTTTACAGAATCAGAGAATCACTGTAGAATCACCTGTAAAAGGAGGCTCTAGGATGTACCAAAATGGAGGCTCTAGGGTATACCAAACTTCTTCAGTCCAGGTTCAGGGTAGACTCATCGGGAAAAGCCCCATTTGTTTTCGTTGAAACTTGTGTCCAATCGGCTGTGAAGCTCAGAAAATAGGAAAATGTACAATACGTCGGCTGACCTGCTCGAACTTACAAAGTGATAATGGTCAAACATAGGCAAACCGATACGTTACCTGACTTCGTCATATTAGACTATTGGGTCTCCACTTCATCGAGGCCCAAATCGTCGGATTTTACTACTCAAACGTCTCAGAAGGGAATTTATAATCCTGAGTTCTAATTTATTGCCAGCACCCATGCCAAGATTTCACCATTCTACAAGGAGAT